TTTACTTACTAGTGTTTATGCAACAGATGTGTAGTAGGGAAATTTAAAACAATTTGCCATCTTAGATGTTTCGTGGCGTACCTCGTTATCGACAGTGAGTACTATGTTAGACCCTATCTACATGCTCGTGTCAGAAGCCAGACATAGGTATGGTAAGATTGTGGAAAAGTGAAGTCAGAGTACACATGCTGTTATTCCATCTCACATTGGTCTTCAGATGCATGATAGAACTGATAACTTGGCTAAGTATATAACTTTCAAAGAGGGAGTAGATTACGATCTTGGGTTGTCAGTTAGCAGTTTGAGAACAATAATATGAAAAAAACTTCAATTGAACTTTTTGACTTAAGACTTATGGAGATTGACACAAGTCAGTCCATCTATCATCATTCCATCATGCAGGAGGAGCCACAAAGTCTATCATGCAGGAGGAGCAACATGTCTATGGTGCATCCAACAAGATAAGCAGACTCTTGGGATGTCACTACTGCCCCCGGGTCCGGCTGGGTTACAAGTATCTTTGGCAGGTTACATCACCACCACCAATGTAGACCAACGAAATGTAAACTTTGCCAGATGGACTATTGTCACACCCTGCCTCATTATGTACTGGAGTGCGATCAAATTAATGAATTCAGAGACAACTCACTCAAAATGTTCAAGAAATGGCACAGTGGTATACTACAGACCATTCTGGAGAAATACCCTGACTTTGCTAACTGTAAATAAAGCATTACCACGGGGTGTTTTGTGTGTGTGTGTGTTTGCATGTGCATTTATGACTCATATATGAGTGCTTGTAAATCGTGTGGTGTGTGTACTCACCTATTTGTGTGTGGGGTGTGGTGTGTGTGTGTGTGTGTGTGTGGTAAAGAGTGGGATATTTAAAGTGTGTGTGTGTGTGTGTGTACTCACCTAGTTGAGGTTTTCGGGGTCGAGTCCGAGCTCCTGGCCCCGAGTCCGAGCTCCTGTTTTGTGTGTTTTGTGTGTGTGTGTGTGTGTGTGTACTCACCTATTGTACTCACCTATTTGTGGTTGCAGGGTCGAGTCACAGCTCCTGGCCCCCCCTCTTCGCTGATTGCTACTAGGTCCTCTCTCTCCCTGCTCCATGAGCTCTATCATACCTCGCCTTAAAACTATGTATGGTTCCCGCCTCCACTACGTCACTTTCTAGCTATTCCACGGCCTGACTACTCCATGACTGAAGAAATACTTCCTAACATCCCTTTGATTCATCTGAGTCTTCAACTTCCAATTGTGACCTCTTGTGTCTGTGTCCCTTCTCTGGAACATCCCGTCTTTGTCCACCTTGTCAATTCCGCGCAGTATTTTATATGTCGTTATCATGTCTCCCCTGACCCTCCTGTCCTCCAGTGTCGTCAGGCCGATTTCCCTCAACCTTTCTTCGTAGGACAATCCCCGTAGCTCTGGGACTAGTCTTGTTGCAAACCTTTGCACTTTCTCTAATTTCTTGACGTGCTTGACTAGGTGTGGATTCCAAACTGGTGCTGCATACTCCAGTATGGGCCTGACATAAATGGTATACAGAGTCTTAAACGAATCCTTACTGAGGTATCGGAACGCTATCCGTAGGTTTGCCAGCGCCCGTATGCTGCAGCAGTTATCTGATTGATGTGCGCCTCAGGAGATATGCTCGGTGTTATACTCACCCCCAGGTCTTTTTCCTTGAGTGAGGTTTGCAGTCTTTGGCCATCTAAACTATATTGTGTCTGCGGTCTTCTTTGCCCTTCCCCAATCTTCATGACTTTGCATTTGGCAGGGTTAAATTCAAGGAGCCAGTTGCTGGACCAGGCTTGTAGCCCGTCCAGGTCTCTTTGTAGTCCTGCCTGATCCTCATCCGATTTGATTCTTCTCATAACTTCGCATCATCTGCAAACAAGGACACTTCTGAGTCTATCCCATTCAGTTATGTCGTTCACATATACCAAGAACAGCACAGGTCCTAGGACTGACCCCCGTGGAACCCCGCTTGTCACAGGCGCCCACTCTGACACCTCGTCGCGTACCATGACTCGTTTTGCCTCCCTGACAGGTATTCTTGATCCATTGCAGTGCCTTTCCTGTTATGTGTGCCTGATCCTCTAGCTTTTGCAGTAACCTCTTGTGAGGAACTGTGTCGAAGGCCTTCTTGCAGTCCAAAAATATGCAGTCGATCCACCCCTCTCTCTCTTGTCTTACTTCTGTCACCTTGTCATAAAACTCTAGTAGGTTTGTGACACAGGATTTTCCTTCCCTGAAACCGTGCTGGTTGTCAATTATACACTTGTTTCTTTCCAGGTGCCCCACCACTCTCCTCCTGAAGATCTTCTCCATGACCTTGCATACTATACACGTTAGTGATACAGGTCTGTAGTTTAGTGCCTCATGTCTGTCTCCCTTTTAAAAATTGGGACTACATTTGCCATTTTCCATACCTCAGGGAGTTGCCCAGTTTCAAGTGATGTGTTGAAGATCTTTGTTAATGGCTCACACAATATCTCTGCTCCCTCTTTAAGGACCCATGGAGAGATGTCTGGTCCCACCGCCTTTGAGGTGTCAAGTTCGCATAGCAGCTTCTTCACCTCCTCCTTGGTTATATGTACCTCATCCAGCACTTGCGGGTGTGCCCCCCTGTTCTGATTTCCTGGAGTCCTACTGGGTTCTACTGTAAATACCTCTTTAAATCTTGTGTTGAGCTCCTGACATACCTCTTGGTCGTTTCTTGTGAATTCCCCATCACCCTTCCTCAGTCTGATTACCTGGTCCTTGACTGTTGTTTTCCTCCTGATGTGGCTGTACAACAGCTTCGGGTCAGTGTGTGTGTGTGTTTGTGTTTGTTTGTGTGTGTGTGTGTGTGGTGTGTGTGTGTGTGTGTGTGTGTGTGTGTGTGTGGGTGTGTGTGTGTATGTGTGTGTGTGTGTGTATGTGACCCAACAATTAATATTTGCACCAATAAATCATTACAGTTGTGACCGGGGGTGGACGTGTGAATTGCTCATTACTCTATAATTTGTTTATAATTGTAGCCATATACAAACGTAAGTAAATTTACTTACAGGATTCATTACCTTTATACCTAGTTCAGCTATCAAAACTTTGGGGCCCAGTCCCTGGACCCATTATATATCTCTATAATCTTTCGACTACCGCCCACAGGATGGGTATGGGGTGCATAATAAACATTAAACTAACCCGGGGAGGCCTCCCCATCCATACGACGCCACTGCGACTGTGGCTGATGACACTTTTACCATAGTGAGTAGAGGGACACTTAATCTGCCTGGTTTTGCACATGTACATTAGTTTGAGGTTCTGGATTAGTTTGAATATCGCCACATAAGAGTGCCACAAAAAGAGCTGTGCGTCACTGTTTTGTTTTTATGGGTATGCGGTGTTGCCATGCCTTGCCGCGATAGTGATATTTATGTTTCTGATATAATGGCTACTCCAGTCGCCTTTTCCAGTCCCCATGACTGTTTTTTTTCTTCGGCGAATTTCAGAAGATATATAAATATAATTATGGCAGCCTGTACCCTCTGATGCCTACCATCTTCACTCTTCATACCTTATCCCTTCACAACAAAATGTTTCTTCCTTTAGTTTTTCAAGAATCCTATCGCTATCAGTAACCTAGAGGCCTACTTAAAGCGGTCCCCATTGATTGCTAGTAGACTTCCTGCCCTTACTTCACTATATCCACCTCACCCCTCACTTCACTGTCCCTCTTCTCCCTTCAACACTTCTAACCCTATTTCCATCCTGGCAGGATAAAAAGTTCTTGTCCAAGGGTTGGCGTAGCAGGGTTGGCGTCCTCTTGTTGACTGGTCCCGACATGTTATCAGACATGTTTAAATGTTCACTTCCTTCCTGCATTTGGCACCGAGGGAAAAAAAACCGTCACTACAGACCTTTCAGTTTCCTTGGAGGTTTGTTGTTAGATTTTCACCTATGTTGCCTTCCCATTGAACACTGGTGCATTTGGTATGGTAATCTATGTAACTGTATTTGTGTATACATGTATACAGTGTATACAGTGGTGAGAGGCGTGACTCTCACCACTGGGGTCCTGGGTTCGAATCCCAGATGAACTACTAGAAAAAAAATATAGAAACTGTAATCCAGTGGTGAGAGGCGCGACTCTCACCGCTGGCGTTCGGGTACGAGAACCAGACGAACTACCTGAAAAAAAAAGTGTAGTGCAGTAGTAAGTGCCAGGATTCTCACCACCGATTCCCGGTGTAGAGACACGCACAAAACTGCTGAAAAAAATATCGAAACTGTAGGCCAGTGATGAGAGGAGCGCCCTCTCACCACTGGTGTCCTTGGAACGAGATGTAGTAGAATAACTCGTGGCCTGGTAGGTAAAGCTCTCGCTTCACACACTGAGAGTCCGGGTACGATTCCCGGCAAGGGTGGAAACACTGAGTGTGTTTCCTTACACCTGTTGTCCATGTTAACCCATCAGTAAAATGGGTACCTGAGTGTTAGTCGACAAGTGTGGGTCGCATCCTGGAACAAAATTTACCTAATTTGCCCGAAATGCTCTGCATAACAAAGGGCTTTTTTATACAGAAGTATATCACTGATGTCAGCTATGATCTGTTATCTTGTACATGTACTTATAGAAATTAAAATATTATAATTATTATTATTATAGGCAGCGAGTGCCAGGCTCTCAAGTCGAGAACTCTTGTCTAATGTCTAAAACGACCACTGCAATAGCTTCTATACATACAAAAATCAAGCTGTCCACACTCTCCTACATAGTGACTATGGTCAGCATGGTGACTCTAGGCAACTGAAACTCTGGTTTAATATTCCCTGTTCAAAACCCCCATGTTAATAGGGGCTGATGCATACGGAAGAGTCTGAAGCCTTTTTAAAGCATTCTGGTTTCGGACTATGTACCTTTGTCTCAACCAAAAAGTAATCAAGCCTGTATAATCCTTGGCTGATATTGTATTGGGAATGTTTATCATGTTTTATAATTGCTGACTCAATAATATTGTTGGTTTATTAGGAACAGTGACCTGGGCTTCAAGTAATTTTTGTGGAATGGTTGCACTCTATAATATTGTTAATGTTTGAGTCCTGTGCTGTTCAAATAGCTAGAATTTCATTACTGAGTAGTACCAACAGGTTTCTTCGTGGTGGTGTCTCTTTAGGTTCTATTGTAAATTTTCTTAGACACCAACAATGCCTTCACAACAAGATCCTTGCTGAATAGTAGGTTGGATGTGAAGTTATTATATTAACTATGGGTTCTCGTGTCTTAAGAGTATTTGCCACGGAAGATTCAAGACCTACAGACGTGGTCTCAGGTGAGCTACAGCACTGTAAATGGCTGGGGCGCTGAAGGTGTTGTTGCTGGTGGGAATGATCTCATCACTTGTGAGGGAGAAGGTGAAGTTTTGGAAGAGGCTGGCGAGGAAAACAAAGATCTGCATGCGAGCCAGAGACTCCCCGACACACACTCGTTTTCCTGTGGGAATATATTAGATGTTAACGTCTTGACCTAGGATTGATCAAGGGTCGAGTGGAAACTTTGACCAAGTTTCCTTACATCTACTGCCCTTGTTACACCTACCAGTGAATAGGTACTTGGGTGTTAGTAGACTGTTACGAATCGCATCCCGATGGGTAAGATAACAATTCGTAGACTGTAAATTTAATATATTATATTTTATATATATATATAATATTATAGTTTTAATATATATATTATATATATATATATATATATATATATATATATATATATATATATATATTATATATATATATATATATATATATATATATATATATATATATATTATAATATATATTATATATATATGTTGTCTCGAACAGGTAAAACTTCTAGATAAATACTTACTCATAGGCACCAGGGGCAGCAGTATTTTCTTAAGAAGAGTTGAGTTTGTTACACTGATTTACTCATTTTAGGCTAAAATATCACACAACATACCTGTTCCAAAGGGAATGAAGCCTTCATTATTTACAAATCTGCCGTCAGTGTCGAGAAAGTTTTCTGGGTCAAACTCCTGTGGGTTCTTCCATAACTTAGGGTCTGTCATGGCGTCCTCCGCGTTGGCCACTATCACCGTCCCTGTACGAAAGACAAGCTCTTACGTGATGAATCAGAGACAAATATTCAGAACATCAAAGACAAGTAAACAATGTATTAAAGTCACATTGGCTGAGCGGCTACATTAAAACTTTTCTCTGGAGCTTCTTCCCTGCGGGATAATATAAAAACATAAGAATGAAGAAACACTGCAGTAGGAGTATTAGCCCATACTAGGCAGATGCTTCTTAAACCCAAATCCAAACATTCGCCCGACCCATTTTCAGTGCTACCCAAGGAACAAGCTTTGGCAACCCTATCAACTAATACACAAGTCCCACTCAAATCCAACCTCCTCCACTCGTGTATTTATCTAACCTAAATTTGAAGCTACAATGACCCTACTAGAATTTTTTTTTTCACTGATCGACTAGCAGAGAATTACAGACCAATAGCGCTAACGTCCCATATCATAAAAATCTTTGAAAGGGTTTTAAGAAGTAAGATCGCTACCCATCTAGATACCCATCAGTTACACAACCCAGGGTAACATAGGTTTACTGTAGGCCACTCCTGTCTGTCCTAACTACTGGATCACTATGACAAGGTCTTGGATGCCCTAGAGGACAAACAAAATGCAGAAAGCCTTCTACAAGTGTGACTATGGTGTAATTGTGCACAAAATTCGTGATAAAGGAATAACGAGAATAGAACAAATAGAACACAAAGAGTAATAGTAAACAGAGTAAAGTCTGAGGCGGCCACAGTGAAAAGCTCTGTTCTACAAGGCACAGTACTCGCTCCCATCCTGTTCCTCATCCTCATTTCTGACATAGACAGAGATATAAGCCACAGCACTGTGTCTTCCTTTGCAGATGACGCCCAAGTTTGCATGACAGTGTCCTCCGTCGAAGACACTGCATGACTTCCAGCGGATATCAACCAAATCTTTAAATAGGCCGCAGAAAACAATATGAAGCTCAATAAAGAGAGATTTCAATGATTCCAATATGGAAAATTGGAAATTAAAAAAGTATCGGGGTATGAAATAAATTCCAACCACACAATAAAGCGAAAAATTAATGTGAAGGATCTAGGAGTGATAATGTCAGAGGATCTCACTCTCAAAGATCAAAACAATGTATCTACCGATTTTGCTAGAAAAATGCTGGCATAGATAATGAGAACCTTCAAAACTAGGGACACTAAGCCCGTGATCATATAAACTCAGTGAACAATTTATGTCGATGGCAATAAGCATAATAATAATAATCGCTCTGGGAAACTTTTGATGTATATTACGTGAATATAGACATTTTTTTCAAAATTATATTATAATATGCTACATATCATATAAACAGAATAAAATATATTATATATATATATATATATATATTTTATATATATAGATATAAATATATAAATATATATATATATATATTTATTTTATTTTATATATATATATGTATATTTATTGTGAAAAATAAATTTGCCCGCATAAGCCTCACTATTACATTCATACAGGCAATTTGGGCAGGATACAACCCAGGTAACTAATATTTAGCGATTGTTGCACCTCGGAGGCATGTAGGTAAATTTCGAGGTACTCTAGGTCTCTCTTCGATACCCACTACCCTCACACACACTCACATTACCGAGACCTAACAATTGAATATATTTAATAAACATAACCAGTAGTTCTGGTAAAATTTCATAACGTGGACTGTATGGGGTTTTAGACTGAAGGAAGCTCGATGGGGTTCATTGTATAGTAATATTATTCCTATCAATATTGGTTATTTGAAATATAATAATTATGGCAGAAATTAGTATAATTCAAGTATTTTATGTTACCACTTACCAAATTTTCTCTGGAGGTCGCCTGACTGTCACTGCATCACCCACAACCTGCTTATCTTATAGAAAACTATGATGGCCAACAATTATTATTATAATCAAGTGGAAGCGCTAAACCCGCAGGATTATACAGCGCCTGGGGGGGTTGTGGAAGGCATTCAGGCTTAATTTGGGGAACTGGAGCACAGATCCATTTCCCTAAATCAAGAGCCCCTCACCAACATCAAGGAACCTGCATCTTTATAGAAAGACGGTTAAACTTAGCTGTGGGTATCAAGACAGCGTCCTTTATCTTCCTACATTCCCACAAATTCCTGGATGTCCTGCCAATTTAATGTCGTTTGCCTTCAGCAGGACTGCAGTTCCGATTTGCCTGACTCCTGTTTGGGAGGCCAGAACTCCATTAAGCCTCCGGAAACGCCGTAATTTTTGACACCAAATTACAATGTGGTCAGGCTCTTCAGTTTCAATATGGCGACCTCTTATTTCACCATTTATCCACTTGATTGTCGAGATTTTTTCACTTTTTTTTTTTTTTTTACATTTCGCAGTGTAGTGCATTACCGCACTATTTTCTTCTCATCTGAGGCCGTTTCACCACAATTTATCCACGATGAAGCTTGATTTAATTCGACGGATTTTAACCCTCGACTTTACTGAATCTTCCTCATGGCGTCTCCCTTTCTTCTCCACCTCGCGCAAGCGCAGATTTTCCAAGAGTCAAATCAGCATCATTTTAATACACAGTTATTATTTTATTTAAAATTATACATGCTGACTTCCGGAAAATGTACAAAATTGTGAAATGTGGTAACTGGGCGGGCTACCACATCTGACTTCCTACAATAAATGCTATTCACCTTTCACCCAACATTAAGATTACAAATATTTTAAGGTAAGTAGTGGGTGTACTGTACGTGCATTTTATTTATTGTTTTTATGCCTAGTTCTATTGCTAACTTAATATATGATAGAGTAAACATGTTATCAGGCATTTATATCCATTTAAAAGTGAAAAAAGGGCGATTCGCTTTACGGCGATTTCCCCTTTATGGCGGCAGCCTGGAACCTAACCCACTGTGTAAGTGGTGTGCTGTAAATCTATTATTTTGAGTTCTTTCTTGAAGGGATATCCTTAGTACCTTATTAGTATCTACTTTGTTTTTGCTCATCTTCAACTAATATCAATGAATTCTAAATAATGAGTGAACAGTCATGTGACTGATACCCTCAAATATTTGTAAAATAAATGCTAATGAAGTCAGTTGTAAAAATTCTTACCAGTATCTAAAAGTACCCTCAACCATCTGTAAAGTACTTACCGGTGCCCTAACACCACCTGTAAAGCAATTTTGCTGTGTCCTCATCTACCTTTAAAACATATTTAATACGCCAGCAGTACCCTCAACCACTTTAAAGAATCTAACAATAATCTCCATTATTTGTAAAATATTATTGATTGTGAATTACCTAGCAAGTACTGAAGACAATGTTACCTTTAGGGATGTCGTAGCCAGCAAACGTGCAGTCTTCTGCTGCAGAGCGGAGGATAAAAGCTACAAGGTCCAACACTCTCTGTGCCTCGTGTATAGTGGCCCGGGTGTATGGTAGCCTGGAACACAGGCGAGAGTACTGAGAGAAGATGAAGTAACACAGAACACTTACTGATAGCATGCATTATTATATATATATTATATATTAATATATAATATATATATTATATATATATATATATATATATTTTAAATATATATATATATATTATATATATAAAAAATATATTAAAAATATATATATATATATATAATATATATATATATAAAAATATAATATATATATATAATATAAATATATATAATATATATATATATATATAATATATTGAGCTTGAGTTGGTGAGGTGAGGTGAGCTGCATGTTTTCTCTGAATTCTGTGGATTTTTATACTTAAACCTTGGAATACAGCTTGCTGTAAGCAGATGGATGCCAACCAGGAGGAAGCAAGCAGCCAGGGAAATGGCACGGCTGGCAATACCAGGAGAGGCAAGTGTTGGTCATGCTTACAGCTTCGTTGTCCCCAAACTCTAATGGTTTCCTCCGCAAACACGGTAGTTGCCCTGGTTCAGGTTGTCCTCCTGTGGAAAGTGATGATCCAGAGCCACCTCAGGCACCTGAACCTACTCCAACAGATTTCATCTCATCAGACAATCTCTTGGAAGCAATTAAAGCAACAGGTACGAGGACACTCACACATAATTTCCCCAAAGCCGTCCACACGCAGCTGGGAAACTTACAGACCTCCTGAAAAAAAACAAACGATGGTTTCCACTATCTTAAATGCTCCACCAACCATCAAGGCATGGGACAACTTGCTACTTTTTGGCAATGTCGCTTAGCTGTGCCGGAAAGAAGGGGAAAAAGGCTAGCCTCAATGATAATTTAAAACCTTAAGAGATTTTCCTAGAGTTGATAACCTCATTCGACTTCCCCGTCAACACAAAAAAGGGAGAGGCAGAACCCCCACTCACTCTACTGACAGTGAAAAAGTCAGAGTCCAGGTGAGCAAGAAAATTGAAGAGGGCAACACAGTGGGGGCAATCAGAATTATTACCAGTGAAGATACAGTTGCTCCCAGGGATGCTGATACGGCTGAAGCACTTAGAGGAAAGCACCCTGCCAGGGAAACCAGTGGCACCAACAGTTCCAACACCTCTGTCCCCACTATGGAACCATTGATTGTGGAAGACTCAGACATTTACAAAGCAATAATGTCGTCCCCATCTGGCTCTGCTGGGGGTTACACTGGAATAAGGCCACAGCATTTAAAGGAAATGGTTAATCCAGTTATTGGGGAAATTGCAGAGACACTGCTTTCAGAGATCACAAGGTTCGTCAACAATTCCTTGGCTGGTCTGATTCCTGATGAAATTAGACCTTTCTTTTTGGTGCAACACTTTGTGCACTTAAAAAGAAGGATGGAGGAATTCGGCCAATTGCAGTAGGCAACACGTTACGCCGCCTCGTATCCAAAGCTGCTGTGCGAAGTATTCGTGCACAGGCAGCCATGATGCTTCAACCAAACCAGCTTGGCTTTGGGGTCTCTCAAGGAAGTGAAGCAGCGGTTCATGCAACAAGGGCGTATATCAACAACCTGCCTGAGGAAAATGCAGTGGTAAAATTAGATTTCAAGAATGCATTCAATCTCCTGAAAAGAGACGTTGTATTAGCAGCAGTACAAGAACATTTCCCTGGTCTCTTCCCTTTTGTTTAAGCTGGGTATAGCAAGGAATCAATGCTTCTCTTTGGAGAGCATGAAATCACATCATCGGAGGGTGTCCAACAAGGAGATCCTCTTGCACCATTTCTCTTCTGTATAGCAGTTAGGGAAATCACAGTCAGACTGACCAGCGAGCTAAACATCTGGTTCCTAGATGATGGCACACTAGCAGGTACAAAGGAGTCCCTCCTACATGACCTTACACAGGTAATGACACGGGGACAGGAAATGGGTCTCGTCCTGAATCCATCCAAATGTGAAATCATCTCAGTCAGTCAACAAGTGATAAATGCAGTGAGATCAAAACTACCAGGAGCAGCAGTCATTGCCCCCACAAATAGTGTCTTGCTAGGAGCACCTCTGGGAAGCAATGCCATTGACACAATTCTCAGGAAGAAATTGGAAGAGTTAAGGAGAATGGAACAACGAATAGGCAATCTGGACACCCACGATGCCTTGTACCTTCTCACAAAGTGCTTGAGTCTGCCCAGGTTGACATATTTCCTAAGATGTGCACCTTCATATGATAACCCTATACTGCACGAATATGACAGTATTCTGAGGCAGATTTTTACGAAAGTACTTAACCTTACTCTAGAAGACGGGCAGTGGAACCAAGTTACACTTCCAGTCAGAATAGGAGGCATTGGTGTCCGCAAGTCATCACAGATTGCGTTACCTGCTTTTCTGTCCTCGTGTATTGCATCCAGAGAGCTTGTATTAGCGATTCTCCCTGAACATCTTAGGGACAAGATTGGAGTCCAGGACCAAAAATTCATTGACGGAGCATTGATTGGGATAATCTAACCTAAATTGAAGCTACAATGACCCTACAGAATTTTTTTTTTCACTAGATCGACAAGCAAGAATACAGACAATAGCGCTAACGTATCCCATCTCAAAAAAATCTTTGAAAGGGTTTTTAAAATAAGATCGCTATCCCATCTAGAACCCAACAGTTACACAACCCAGGTAACCTAGGTTTTACTGAGCCACTCCTGTCTGTCCTAAACTACTGGATCACTATGACAAGGTCTTGGATGCCCTAGAGGACAAACAAAAATGCAAAAATGCAAAATGCAAAATGTGCACAAAATTCTGATAAAGGAATAACGAGTAAAATAGAACAAATAGAACACAAAGAGTAATAGTAAACTGAGTAAAGTCTTAGCGGCCACAGGGAAAAGCTCTGTTCGCAAGGCACAGTACTCGCTGCGCTCCCATCCTGTTCCTCATCCTCATTTCTGACATAGAAAGAAATAACACAGCACTGTGTCCTTCCTTTGCAGATGACGCCCAAGGTTTGCAAGACAGCTGTCCTCCGTTCGAAGACACTGCATGACTTCCAGCGATATCAAACCAAATCTTTAAAATAGGCCGCAGAAAACAATATGAAGCTCAAAAAGAGAGATTCAATGATCCAATAGGAAAACTGGAAATTAAAAAAGTATCGTGGGTATAAATAAATCCACCACACAATAAAGCGAAAAATTAATGTGAGATCTATAGTGATAAAGTTCAGAGGATCTCACTCACAAAGATCATAACATGTAATCTCCCGATTTTGCTAGAAAAATGCGCATAGATAATGAGAACCCTTCAAAACTAGGGACACTAAGAAGCCCGTGATCATAAATCTCAGTGAACAATTATGTCGAGGCAATAAGCATAATAATAATAATCGCTCTGGGAAACTTTTGAATAATTACGTGAATATAAACATTTTATTTCAAAATTAAGAAATTATAAATATGCTACATATCATATAAACAGAAATATAATATAAGTAATATAAAATATATATATAAGTAGACCGATTTTCCACAGGGGGGTCTCGTCCGGAAAAAGCCTTCCAAATCTGGGATGTCTCCTCCCTGTAGAGGAGCCTTCCACTGGGAGGTCTCCGCCTCCCGTATAGGGCCTTCCACTGGGGGGTCTCTCCGGTTTTAGGAAACCACAGCTTGAGGCACTGGAGGGGTCACCTTTTTCACACCTAGGTGTTACTTCCCTTCCGGTTTGGACCATGACCTCGCCCTCGAGACTACCTCACTCACCTTTGACCCCCCAACCAATACCCCCCACCCACACACCCCCTTCGCGACCCCCCGTCGCGCCGCCGCGCCCGCGCGCACGCCCCGCGGCCCTAGTTCGCGAGCCCTCGCCCGCGCCTTCTGGCTGCGCCTTCTGCATCGGTCGTCCGGATCGACCCCGCGCCTCGAATTTTTTTCCGATATTTTTTTTTTTCGAATTTTTGAATTCATTTTCTTGTGCTCTCCAGTCTCCTCGATCAAGTTTTTAAAGGTTCCCCCCTCACTTTCACCGCATAGACCCAAAATTTTCTCGTATTACAAGTTTTTGGATTCCCCCCTATGGGGTTTTTTCGAAATTTCTCCATCCTCCTCGGATCAGTTTTTTGGATTCCCCCCTATGGGTTGGAGTTTTTCTCCCATCCCTCGGACAAGGTTTTGGGTACCCCTCCTTTCACCCCCCATCCCCAAACAATTTCTCAATATCAAAGTCTCCACTCCCTCGATCCCCATCTCACTTTCACCCCCATCCCAAAATTTCTTTCTCGATTTACCAAGTTTTGGATTCCCCCTATGGGGGTTTTCTCCATCTCCTCGGATCCCCCTCCCACTTTCACCCCCATCCCCAAAAATTTCTCGACAATACAATTTTTTGGATTCCCCCCTATGGGGTTTTCGAAAGTCTCCATCTCCTTGGATCAAATTTTTGGATTACCCCTCTCACTTTCACTCCCACCACCAACCTCCAAAATTTCTCGATAATATCAAGACTCCATCTCCTTGGATCAAGGTTTTTTGGATTCCCCCCTCTGGGGGTAAGCATTCAAATGAACTCCTCCTATGGAGCATGCTTACTACAGGTCTAATGAAGGGTGTTTACTCGGCGGTCAGTGACGTCACGCGATGACCCCCACACACACAGGCTGAATCATGACGACCCTTTTAGTTCATACAAGTTAATAGGGATATAGTACTACATTCATAGGGAAAAACATTTTCACTCTAACCCAGGTTAATTCCAAATAATTTTCACATTTTTGTTTCGTTAATACCACAACAATCCAACAATTTTCTTTACAAACAAGTCTAGACATTTTTCTCGTTTTAACTATTTATCTCAGTTCCTCCCCCACGAAGTAACCTCCTCCCCACCCTCCGAACCCTCACCCTCCAACCACACCTCACAATTTCACTCATATCCCCCATTTTTTCTCGTTTTAAAAACCCTTTTAGTCATTAAAGTTAAATAAGGGATACAGTACATCAAAAGTCACCACAACACTTATAACCATATTTTTCGATAAATTCA